CCCTTAGAGTCATATCACGTCCATACAGCACACACACACTATTTGCTACATTTGTGCACCAAGGGCATGAAATGATGAAATGGTTCCATGTCTTGGTGACTTGCTGGTTTTCCTAAAAGCATAAGGATCACTTGATCCAAAATATTGCTTACTTTAGATCTTCACACCCCCTAAGAAAGKTAACATTAGGAAATGTATGTAACACAAGTTGCTAGTATTTCATGCTTGTTGTGATACTGCTGCCTATTTATTTATTTATTTATAATCTGGTTTTCCAGCATTACTTAGTATGTAGTAGGGTTACTGTAAATATATTCCTATGCAAATGGCCTCATAGACATCCTAAGAAAGCAGTAGGCATTGCTGAAAGTWTTCCACTAAGTTTAGATTTAATCTCCAAATATCTTTTTCCTTGCACTTGCTCTTCAGCTCCAGACAAACTTAATTCACTATAAATCTCACATAAAAATAATGTTGCTGTTTCTGTGCATGTAAACAGTCTAATTTTATTCCAGCTTCATTGCCAATCGGGGGCAAAAGGAACTCTAAAATTAAAGACTTATGTTTATTTACCTTCAGCTTTCAAATGAAGAGAGAAAGGTTTGAACCTCTCTTTTGGTGCTTCACATGTCCATTCGTASTTTAATGAAAGCAAATATTGTACAGCAGCATTGACAACAACGTGGCTTTCAAAGAACATCCACCTATTACCATATAAATAGCGCACACCGCATTCAGCACCYTCCCCTGCCTATCTTCCCAGCGGGAAGCCCGCCGGTTCAAAAGGGCACTCTCCTCTCCAAAACCAGAAGCCCCATTTTCTGTCCACCAAGCAGTTATTTTACGAGAGAAAAATAATGGAATTTCTTTCCGTTTTGAATGATTTATTGTCTGTCAGCAAAATAGGGCTGTTCTGAACAGCATCGCCCTGCTATTTTGACATTGCTTATGTTACTGTGCTTAGTTTCATGATTATTGTAACAAGTTAGTAATTTCAATATCTACAAAAATGCTTTTGGATGTTTTGGAATATTTTATATCTAGATGTGACCAACTTCTACAGTAACAAGAGCATAAATGGATGTACAGGGCAAAACAAACATCCATGGCAACACCCGCTGCACTTAACACAATTTCCTACCACGATTTCTCTGTTGCCCTATTGCATTCTAAATCCCCAGTGCTATTTGGTAAAGGATAACACTGTGAAATCTGAGAAAAGATCAAACTCTCTCTGTTGGATATCAATTTAAATATCCCAGAAAATATCTTTTTTTTCTTTTCTTTTTTTTTTTTAATTTGTCTTTTTGTAGAACAAAAGATTACTCTTCCACAGTTGATCAAAGCCAGAACTTAGAAAAGGCCATGCCAACACCAAAGGCCTGGGGTTAATTCAGAATTAGACAGCTTAGTTCTTCAATAATAATGTGGAAGACACGAGCCACGTCACTGTCTGTCTATGGGAAGCTGCTTTGTCCGCAGCACAACTCTTCATGCTTTGCAAGTGGCCTCAGCAACACYAATGTGACCAGCCAGCTGCTAGTAAGGAAGGCGATTTGCTCATCTTGGCCCTACTCACATGGCACAGTGCGGAGGTAGAGGTTGTCTCTTATAATCTGCTGGAGCTCGTGGTCTACCGAACCTTTCTGGAACCGTAAATTGAGGTAGTGACGAAGGTCCTTATCAACGATGCCTCCTGCCAAGTAAGAGACAAACAAAAGCATTAGAAATATATTGCTTTGACAGGAGCAATGAGTCACTTGTGAAGTCTTAGATGATCATTTTCCTTCATGTTTCTGTCACCTTTCRGATGACAAAAGTGCAAAGCTTTCTAGTTAAGGCATGCAGTTGGTATAATATTATTTTGTATTGATCATTATTTTACAGGTTAAAAAAGTTAACTTATAACTGACTGGCTAAATCCCTACAGTTTAGAAAAAAATGTATATAGGATTATATACTAAAGTGTTCGATTTTTCTGCACAAACTGATAACACTATTATATAATTACATAAATAAAAACCCGTATAACACATGATTGCACTTCCTGTGACCTTGTACCAATTCCACTCCCACTTATTAAATGCAAAATTCTTGACTCAGAATGTCTCCATTTGAAATGTTCAATGCTTTGACTACACATGTGATCAGAATACTGTTAAAAAATGTTATAAGCTGTATTTAATGATCATACAAATAACATATAATCTTTGTCATATTTATTTACAATGGTGCTCACATCTGAGAAATATAAAGTAGGAAATAGGGGAACATATTTTAGTTCTACCATTGAAAACAGTCATGTTTAGCTTAGCACAATACTGCAAACATATTTCGGGGGRAAAAAAAAAAAAGAACTGAGCTAAAAATCCCATCTTTGACAATTTTACCATAACTCTAGGACAAAACCACTTTAAGCATTGTTCAGCCAGTGACAGGGTGCATCATTTTCCATTATTAAAGGCAGATATATAAATCAAATGCAACATGATTAATAAACATTTGCAGATATAGTTCCCCTCCAGCTCTTTTACCCTGGGGTATGGATCGTGTTTATAATTATGGAGGAAAGTCTATAAATAACTGTATTGCTTCCTTCTCTGAAATTTTATCTGTCATAAGAAAAGTATAGAAAATCATTATAACACTAAGCTCTGACATATATTCCCAAGATGAAAAATTGCAATCCGATACAATTCTAACTTGTTGCTTCATACATTCAACCTTAAATCATTTTTGCAAAATGGCATTTGCTRTTGAACCTCTGCCAGAAGTCTTTTGACTTTAGACTATATAAAGATTTTCCTGAAAAAAAAAAGAACAAACACCATTTCCACCTAATTATTTCTACTGTATTGAAAGTCACTGCACACCACAAATGGTAATAAATTAAAATATATTTCTCCTAACAGTTATTCCTATTTATCTGCCCGTTACAAGTTGATAATCTTATTATGGCTGTTTTTTGTCAGTAACTTAAAAATCTTTTTTTGTTCCAGGTTTAGAAAAAGCTTAAAAACAAATTCTGTCATTTTTACCTAAAGGCAGAAAGCAGCAGACTTTCATAATTGAAAAAAAAAAAAAAAAAAAAARGAGAGAAGAAGCCTGGATTCAGAACAGTTACACAAAAAAATACCTTTATGTAAGGTTCCCAGATGCTCACAACTTCCATACAGGTCTCTAATATTCCAGAATCGAAGTTGAGCTACTCAGTCCATTACCTTTGTGTCACAAACCCTGTTTCTTCCTCTGCAGAACGGACCATGACTCCTGCTATTTTTTTTTTTACCGGATTTCAGAGCAAGCAGGGGCAGGAGGAGGCTGCACRAAGCCACTCTGCTCCCGACTGGAATTAGCTGTCCTTGCTTAGTGGCTGCAGAGAGTAAAGGTCCTGCAGCTCTTGCTCTTCTTGCTCTAATATACAGAACATGCCCAGTGATGCAGATGCTTTCTGGCAGCCTGAGAAAAAGCCAGCTCGAGAACAACAGCTGTAGCCTGCCCACTGACATAAACCTGAATCACTCAACTTATGACAGAAGTAAGTTTAGGAACCTACACAAATTTATGACCTTCAAAGGGTGCTTTTCGGTTTTACCCTTTTTCTTCAGACACAGCCGTTTACTTCACCAGGTGCAACGAATGCACTAAAGCATCCTAAACATTCCACGAAAAGCACCAGCCGATATTTTGGCAAAGTGCATGTTCCAAACTGCAGTTTAAAAATGTGCATTTACAAGACAAGGTGCCTAGAGCCTCCTTCGATTTACTACATACAGATTCAAAAGCCAAAGTTTGTGCCAGCAGTTGGACTTACACATAGTGCAGAGCAAAAAATACCAGCACCCTAGCTCAAGTTAAACATACCAGTTTTTTTCCTGAAAGTTAAGTCTATTCTGCAAGATGACCAAGGTCTATTTTAAGGAGCAGTCAGATTTAACTATGGACAACATATGTACAGCTGGCAATTTTCCCTCTTTGAAAGTCATTCTGTGCTTTAATTGAGGTTTTTCATTTCTTTAGGCATACGATACTCTTTTTCGGAGTCTGGTATAACAGTGAAGTTTCCACCCGGCAAGGCTGAAACCAGAATATAGGCAGTTCTAAGTCCTGACAAGAAATGCAAAGGTCCCCTAGCAAAACTGTCATTCTTCTGCTTTATTCCCCTAAAAAGCTCTGTTGTTTTACCTGATGTTTGTCAAAAGCACACTTTATTTCTCTCCAGATGTACTTTTCAGACCTTTCTAATGCTGGGACATGAGCTTTTGAGCAGAGATCCTCTTGAAGTATAAGATCTAAAATCTGCCATGTGCTAGTATGACTTTTTGCAAGAACTATACTGTACTATAAAACAGCCTTGATTTAGCATCAATGAATTAGATCTCAAATTATGTATCATAAAATGGAGGAATAAGATGAGAAGAAGACGAATATCAATGGGGCTGGTGTCCTTCAAAAGGCTGAAGAGACTGAAAATCTTCTCAGTTTGTTTTGAAAGGAAAAAAGAAACTTTGTGATATTGCCAAAAAGTACAGAGAAAGAGGAGTGACAAAAGAGAAAGGAAAGGAGCAATCTTCTGCTATTTATCCAGCACCTTCAGATGGTTGTCCAGTAGCCAGGACTGACCAGGTCTCTATGCAGCTGAACTTCCTGCTATTCTCTTTTTCCACAGCACATTTAAACCCACTGAAATATTTAATAAATCCTGCMATGAGCACAAACCAGTAATTTCTCTTGTTCACTTGCCATGGCAGTCTTAGAAAGCTGCAGAAGCAACTCTGCAGCATGAGCATGAGCCCCGCRATGCCCAACGGGGCAGCCCATGGAGAGGATGGGCTCAAAGTTGCTTCCCTAGGGCTGCATCCCTGCACACTGTAGAGCGAAAAAGGAAGCGGTATCGTGTGTCAGGGTCTGGAAATCCAACCCAGAGACTGCAATTAAAAACATTCCTTGACCATTGCTGTAGAAGTCTGACTATACAGAGCTTTGGATGGCTTGCAGCTGTGCAGGTGGGGTTTGCTGCTGGCTTGAGGAGCTGTACTGTGTCTCAGCTCCATTTGACTCCAATGAATCCCAACGCTTTGCTAGCTAGGAACATTCATAGGACATGACTTAAACACTTCCAGTAATGATCACTTTCCTAACATTTGTCTGTTTTAGGTGCAGCTACCAATCATGATGGCAAACCCATAACCATGACTGAATTCGATTCTACAGGTTATAAAACTAGACACGCTTGATTGAACTAAGAACTGCTCTGTTTGCATGTTTTACTCACAAATTTAATGAGCAACGTATATCTCTTTATAGTGTTTTAATATATTTCTGTCAAGTTTCTTTCCCTTCTGAAAAACTAGTAGCAAAACCCAATTGGAAAAGAAATRCAATAAAAAAAAACACATACACAAAAGGATATTAAACAGTTTGTAGCTCATTAAAGGATTCAAAACTGGAGAGGATAATTGCCATTTCTGAGAAGATGACAGAGATAAATGTAAGGAGGTTTACAATTTTCTCTAGCCCTAAATATTTTAAGTGGTTTTTGGTTGCTTTCCACTTGGCAACCCACAGATGCTACAGATAGCGTACACTCTTGAATCTTATATTTCAGTGAAGGACTACTTGCAGAACATTAATGCCCCTCTTATTCTCACATTTTCTTCTAAATATTTTATTTCTTACATTTATCACATTTTTTATAGTTATAACTTCCCTACCTACATTTTTGAGAATGTTCATGCTTTGCAAGTTTCTCATCTTGTATCACCACCTTTCAGTGAAGTGACTTCACAAAACCTGGCATGGCAGGTTATTTGCTTCTCAACAGTATAATCAATTGCATCTCAGCCATGAATAATTTGCCTTGGAGATTTTATTTACTGGGATAAGAATCGAAAAGATTTCAGGTTTTCTGAGTTCTATAAATAATCCTGGTTAGAAAAGTCTATGAGTAAGCAAGTTTCTTACGCATAGATTTGCATCTCTACATGACCTACATGCCTCAAAAGAATAAAGGTAAGGGATCTCTACCTTTTGCAAACAGACAAACTCACAGCCTTAGTGTGTGTAAACCACCTCCCATCTTCCATCATCCTATCTGTGTTAATCTGTCTCCCCTTATTTTGAGCAAGTTATTTTCTGTATTTTCCTTTTTCCCCATATTTTCTCTTCTGCSCTTATTTTCAGCAAGTTGTTTTCCTTATTTCCCTTTCTCCCCTTATTTCCATTTCTGCCCTTATCATCAAACACAGATATTTGCTAAGGGCATAAATGGCTTGGCTGAACTGGCTTTTACCAGCTTCATTAGGACTCCACGGTGGGAGAATCTCACCCCAAATATTTATTCAGGTGCTCTGTAAAGCAGTAAATACTAATACAATGGACCTCTGTGGACATCTGGAGATAAGTACTATGCATTTCTTTGATGGGACACTTGCATTTTGCTGCCCACCAGACTAATTTCTCCTTCACCCCTCACAGATGATCCAAACTGACTTTACAGTCACTAAACTGAATGGGAGTGGCCTGACTTCTTTAAATCAGATTGCATGAATATTTGGGTTATTAATTCTTTTATCCACTGATGAGAAATATCTGAAGATGATTTTTTTTTATTCTTTCTCCAAGACCTACCAATTATATCAATCAAGGCCATCATAAGTAAAAAGCGGCACATATGGTCCAATTCCTCAGCTCAGA